TTGATCCAAAGTTTAATTGATTAGCTATTGCGTGATCGCGATCGCTAGGCATTATTTTGGATCGACATGCATGCACCCCGCGTGCTAAACTTAAGTGTCCATGTCAATCGAACACATGATGATAGCAAAGTCGTGTTGCGATCAGTGGCTCAGGATTGGACTTGGATTTGTACATGATGCATTACATATGATTGCATTCGTTCAAGGCTTAGGCTTCGCTTTTGTTCAAAGGTTTTGGGTTGAAGGTTAGGGTTAGGGTTTGGAGTTTGGGTTTGATGTTGTTGTTTCAAGGTTTTGGGTGCATCGAGGCCGATTGCTGGGACATCAAACCGAAACCTTAAACCCTAACCCTCAAACCCAAACCCTAAACCCTAACCCTAACCCTCAACCCAAAACCTTTAAACAAAAACATCAAACCCAAACCCTAAACCCTAACCCCAACCCTCAAACCCAAAACCTTTAAACAAAACATCAAACCCAAACCCTAAACCCTAACCCCAACCCTCAAACCCAAACCCTAAACCGTAACCCTAACCCTCAACCACGAATCGCGACTAAACCCTAATAAACCCTAAACCCTAAACCCTTTTTTCTCGCCACCCGCCGCCGCGACTTACAACAGGGCCTGCATGCGAAGCTTGTAGTGCTTGAGGCCTTCCACATGAGTCGAGCACACATCGATGAGGGGCTGCACCTTGTCGCCGAACTCCTGCCAATCCTTTTCGCTCTTGGAATCATCGTTTTGCATGATCGAATGGTTGGAAATCTTTTCGCGTGCTGCCTCCACGAACTTGTCGGCCTCCTCCACAATAGTCAAGCCCTCTGTCACGAACTCCTTGTACTCAGGTTTTTTGCCGTGCTGGAGCGTGCTGATGCCGTCTTTGATGATGTCGAGGGCCTTTTGTATCGCAGCTTTGCCATTGGTCAAAACCGTCACATGTTGAGTAGCCTTAACTTTCTCCGGATTCTCAATCTTCACCTGAACACCGCCCGAACCGCTGCTCGCGTCCTTCAAAGCAGCACCCAAGTGCCCAACCTTGATGTTCGTCGTGATCTCCATGTCGCTTTCCTTGCGATGCAAAGAATTGGACTGGCTCTTCGCGAAGACATAGAAGTACCTGGTGAGCTCAGGGCAGCCGGCAACTTCCTTGATGAGGTCCTTCTTGATGTCCTGGTACTCGATGCTGTGCTCCTTGTAATTCTCCATCCTCAAAGCCTCCAGCACGATGTCCTGCCGCTTCTTCTCGGGCTGGATGCCCTCCCTCTCGAAGATCTTGCCCATGGTGAAATAGCCATCCTCCACCTTCTGCTTGTTCTCGGTAGATGTGATCGCATGCTCGGTGTACGATGGGACCCATGACAAATTCTTTATCCCGCCCTCGCGAATGTAGTTGTTGATGAGCTCGTGCTTCGCGGATGCATCGGAATCGTGATATACCTGACAGGGACAGCAAGTTTAAGGGATATTAGATATTGAATAAGAAGATCTAAGGCTTGAGGCTGCGTGTGTTTAGGGGTTTTGGTGTGTTGCATCCCCAATCCCCCCACACTCGAAACCCTGAATCCCCATATCACGGCACATAGTGTACAGTGTACATATAGTATATACATATATATGATATAGGGTGTATATAATATTTTATGTATATATAGGGAGAGAGAATGTACATAGTATCTAGTCTATATACTATATATAGATACGTATATATATATATACATATATATATATATTCTAATATATATATATATATGATGAATGTGTGTAGAAAAAGATATATATATATACTGATACCATATCTATATATACATATATATATATATATGTATGTACTGATTACATAGTATATAGTTTACAGTTATACCCAACCCCCCAACCCATAAACCCTCAAACCACAAAACCCTACAGCCCAAACTGCTAAGCCCCAAACCCCAGACTACGAAAACGCCTAAACCCAAAACTCAACCCAGCAACCCCTAACCCTAAACCCTAAACCCAGCAACCCCCCCCTAAACCATAACCCACTCTGGCCTGGAGCAGCTGCTGGGCGTTCGTCTTTTCCGCACCCTTGCCATGCGTGGACTTGTACTTGAGCCCCGTGAGGAATCCAGACGTCGCCTCGCGTGATGGCTTGCCTCCTTCGCTTGTCGCTGTAGACGGAGGAGCACTCTTAGCCTTCGCCTTGCTCTTCACAGCCGTCTTCGGCTCTGCCTTTCGCTTGCCACCCATCACCTGCACAAGGGGAGTTAAAAAACGTTAAAATTTTAACGTTTTTTTAACACTTTTTTAACATAGCCTTTAAAAGGCAATTGCCTTTTAAAAGCCATGTTAAAAAAGCGTTAAAAAAGCGTTAAAAATTTAACGTTTTTTAACACACTGCTGTTCCCGAAGGTCGGGGGTGCATGGCTCATCCGAGCCAAACCTGGAAAGTAGGAACCCACAATTGCAAGCCCAATCCGTTCGTGGCCTCGGAGAAGTCAGGCGGATCCAGGCAGCGATCAGCAACCTGGGCAGTAGGACGGTGGTGTGGTGGGTGGGTGTGGTGGGGGGGTGTGTTGGGATTGGGGTGGCGACTTTGTGGGGCCCATGCCTGGCCCCACAAAATAGCTAGGCTGGGCTGGGCTGGGCTGGGCTCGGGGGCTGGGTGGGAGAGGGGGAAGGGCGGGGGTGGTGATTGGGGTGGGGGTTGGGGGGTGCCGACTTTGTGGGGCCCACACCGGGCCCCACAAACTACCGGAGCTGGCGGTGGGTGTGCTTGGGGTGTGTTGGGGGATGTGGTGGGTTGTGGTGGGGTCTTTGTTGTCGTGGTAGCAGTAGTAGTAGTAGTAGTAGTAGTAGCAGCAGCAGCAGCAGCAATAGAGCAGTAGTAGAAGTCGTCGTGTTGCAAAAGGAGGGAGCAGTCGCAGTGCCATTGGCATTAGCAGCAGCAGTGCCAGCAGCATACTAGCAATAATAATAATAATAGTAGTAGTAGTAGTTGTTGTTGTTCTTATATAGCAGTAGTAGTACTAGTAGTAGTAGTAGTAGTAGTAGTAGTCGTAGTAGTAGTAGTAGTAGTAGTCGCAGCAGCAGCAGCAGCAGCAGCAGCAATAGCAATAGCAGAAGTCGTGTTGCAAAATTTGCATGCAAACCCTCAAACCCTAAACCCCTAAAAACTAAAACACTAAACCCTCAACCCTAAACCCACAAACCCTAAACACTAAACCCTAAACCCCAAACTTACAAACCCAAAAACACTAAACCCTAAACCCTACACCCACAAACCCTAAAACAGTAAACCCTAAACCCCAAACCCACAAACCCCAAAACACTAAACCTCTACACCCCAAGCCCGAACCTCGCGTATATACCCAGACCTCTGTACCCTAGACAATGTACAGACATGAGTTTCAATCCATCATGTAAATGTAAACACCAATCCATGAACCCTAAACCCTAAACTCTAAATCGTGTTAAACCCCAATCCTAAATCCTCTGCGTGTGGTCTTGGTGTCCGGCAGCACAGAAGATCTCGAAGAGGCCAGCAGCAGCAGCAGCAGCAGCAGCAGCAGGCGGGCCTGCCCCAACGACAATTTGCATAATGCACATGCAAATACAGCTTCGCATGTGTGGCCTCGTGTATCCTGCACCATGATACCATGCATTCGCCATCGTTGAGCCGCGTGCCATGATCGGTGAATGCCCACATGTTCACATGCATGTGCACATGCTTCAGCTGACCATGCACGGCACACCAACACCAAAGCATGCTCAAGGCTCGATCGATGCAACCTTTTCCCATGCTAATCTTCTCTGTGTCGTTCCAATTTTATCGGATGATCCCCGAATAATGGGAGTTCGGGCGGGCACAGCTAGACAGGAGCTAGAGCTTGTAACCCATCCGGATAAAGCCCCAAAGTCCTAAACCCTAAATGTTACACCCTAATTTGGCCCTTAAGTATGCACCGATCCTCTAGAGCCCGGGCTTTGCACATCATCCAGCGAATTTCGCCAGTGCACCTGAGTCGATCGGCGATGTTTTTTTTTGAGCTGGACCCCATACATGTCATCATGCCGATATACATGTGTGAATATATATATATATACAGATATACATATCTATATGTGACCATATCGATCCCTATGCCCATCGACCCCGGCACTATTGATAGCTCAAGATAGAGCCTCTATCATATGTATAAACGTATTCACATGTGTATATATTATACCAAATTAAGCGAGGGCGTCCTTTGCTTGTTTGTGTGTCTTAGTTGCATTAGGTTCATTGACCCCACTAAGCCCCGATTAACACTATGCAGGGAGAATTACATGTGCATATTAGATGTGTGTGTGTGTACATCTATATATGTATACACACGTGTGCATTTTGTGCGGGGGGCATGGGGTGTGTGCATGCATGTTTCTGTGCATGTGTGTATATATGTGCTTCTAGAATTACAAGTCAGCTTAAACCCGGTGCCATGCATGCAAACCCTCAAACCCTAAACCCACAAACCCTAAAACACTAAACCCATAAACCCTAAAACACCAAACCCTAAACCCTAAACCAATAAACCCTAAAACACTAAACCCTCAACCCTAAACCCACAAAGCCTAAAACACTAAAACCTAAAACCTAAACCCCAAACCCTAAAAACCCTAAACCCTAAACCGACAAACCCTAAAACACTAAACCTCAAACCCGAAACCCACAAACCCGAAAACACTAAACCTTAAACCCTAAACCCACAAACCCTAAACCCCTAAACCTCTACACCCCAAGCCCGAACCTCGCGTACATACCCAGTCCTCTGTACCCTAGAGAAGAACACGTATACCGGTACACAAACGGCCAAATCGAATCGTTAGCACTACACAACTAATTACAACCATCAGCTATAGCAGCTAGCATATCATCATAGTCATCATCGTCATCCACCATCGTCGATCATCATCATCATCATCATCATCATAATCATCATCATCGTCATCTTTCATGCATGGAGCCGGCCCGGGATCCTGGCCGCGGATTCGCGAAGCCTGCGAGCGAATACATTTCAAGCAAGGCATGATCGATGCATGTCGAATGTGTTCAAGTTAGGACCGTGCCTCCCATCCATGTGCATTCGCTCGAAGAATCCGTCCCTGGCACGATCGATTTATGCTTTAATTAAACTTGAATATTGGCTCAATCGTGGAGTCGAGGCCTCCACGATTGGAACTCCAGGGCATCGAGGATGCCACATCGCCACACCTCAAACAGTTCGGACACCCGTTATAGAACATTCGATGACTCCATTGCACTGAGACCCTGGCCCCGCGTCTGGAAGTCGAGATCACCCCAGCCTCGATCCATGAAAAAATGTGCAAAGTATCGTGATTATGGTTTGAACCCGGCCTCAGACGTGTAAAAACCGCGATGCGGGATGACAAAGTCCATGGGACACCTGCGAAAAGTCGAATCGTAGAGCGAACACCAACATGCAACAGTTGAGCAAGGGGCAACGAAGTCCACGAGCATCCATCGGTCGACCTGGATATTGCTTTATTATTGTTTAGTCCGGAAAGTGAAGATACGACCATTGAGGACCGGGCGGCGATGAAGGCGGCCACGAGTAATCCACTGCATGACCTTATTATGGGGTTGGGGGGGTTTATTTGGAGGGATCTGAAGTTCTGGATAAGCACCGGGCGAGCATGCACGAAGTACACCAAACCCACTGCGACCTGGGATCGGGTTGAAATCTCTGACGACGGCAGTGAGCTGAGCAGTGAGCGGCCACGAAGTTGACCCACTGAGACCTGAGAAAAGCAGACAAATTTAGGGTGTATTTTGCTTGCATCGTGTGGGTCGTTGAGCATCAGACAGCGGAAAGCCCATGATGTCAGCCCATGCACCTGGGAGCAGGGTTGAAGGTGACCTATAAATTAAGGGACTCTCGCAGCAATACGGTTTCAGACTGAGTCATGGACTTCTGCAAAAGATCGGGATCGAGACGAAGGCTTCGGACGTGCTGCTACTTTAAACTTACCCGGCGGGGCTTCAGGAATTCTAGGGACTCGACATCGACACTTGCAAAGCCTAGTTTTTGGAGGTAGCAAAAGAGTTTATAATACCAGGCGATGGTGTTGGGTCGACCCTTGAAAAGCGCGATTCTGCTATAGTCACCCTAGGATATACAGGTTGTAAAGATCGCGAAAGCACGGTTTAGAAAAATGCTTCATTACTACCCTCCCACATGCATGTGTAGAGTCGGCTTTGTTGTTTCGACTGTTGCTCCATGCATGATGCAGCTGTTTGTTAACAAGCGGTTGCAAGCAGGACACAAAAGTATTCATGAGCATGTGTTCAAAATCCAAGAAATCATGCCTGCAAAAACATGTGCATGCAACAGCTTTCACATCTGCACCGGCTCGCAAACTTGAAACGAGGATCGTGCATGGATCTGCTTTCATGAATA